AAACAAAGGCAAAAATAAACTATTGGGACTACATCAAAGTAAAAAGCTTTTGCACAGCAAAGGAAACCATCAAGAAAACAAAAAGACATCTGTTGAAGGGCATCTCGGCTCCTTCCATAATTTGGCTATTGTGGACATTGCTGCTATGTGCACATGCCCCTTCTTTTCACTACATCTGTATCTTTGGGGTAAATATCTTGTAGTGCAATTACTGGGTCACAGGGTAGCTCTATTTTTAACTTTTTGAGGAATCTCCATACTGTTTTCCAAAGTGGTTGTACCAGTTTGCATTCCCAGAGGGGAGGGGGCAGGGGGATGAGGTAGCCCAGTGATGGATATTAAGGAGGGCACATGTTGTGATGAGCATTGGGTGTTATATGCAACTAATGAGTCATTGAATACTTCATCAAAAACTAATGATGTACTGTATGGTGGCTAATTTAACATAATAATTAAAAAATACTTGAAAAGATATATTCCCCCACTGTAAAAAAAAAAAAAAAAGACAACCTTCTTAATGGGAGAAGATATTTGCAAATGATATAACTGATAAAGTGTTGGTATCCCAAATATATAAAGAACTGATACAATACCAAAAACCAAACAATCTGTTTTTAAAAATGGGCAGAGGACCTGAATAGACATTTTCCCAAAGAAAACATACAAATGGCCAACAGACACATGAAAAGATGCTCAACATCACTCATCATCAAGGAAACACAAATCAAAACCACAATGAGATATCCCTTCACACATTTCAGAATGGCTAAAATCAAAACCACAAGAAACAAGTGTTGGTAATGATGTTGATAAATAGAAACCCTCATGCACTGTTGATAGGAATATAAGTTGGTACAGCCACTGTGGAAAACACAGCAGATGTTCCTCAAAAAATTAAAAATAGAAGTATCATATGTTCTGATAACTACATTATTAGGTATTTACCTAGGGAAAAAAGGAAAAACTGAAAAGATATATGCATCCCTATGTTTACTGCAGCATTATTTACAATAGCTGAGACATGGAGGCAACCTAAATGTTCATCAACAGACAAATGGCTGAAGAAAAGGTGGTGTGTGTGTGTGTATGTGTGTGTGTATATATGATGGAATATTACACAGCCATATATATTACATACAGCCATACATACATTACACAGTGTGTATATATGTTGTGTATATGATGGAATATTACACAGCCATAAAAAATGAGATTGTGTCATTTGAGACAACATGGTTGGACATAGTGGGTATTAGGCTAAATAAAATAAGACTAAAGAATACAAATACCATATGATTCCACTCATAAGAAGAATCTAAAAAAATGAACAAACAAAAAGCAGAATCAGAACTATAAATACAGAGAACTGATGATCATCAAAGGGGAGGGAGATTAGGCAAAATGGGTGGAGGAGAGAGGGAGATACAGGACTCCAGTTATGGAATGAGTAAGTCATGGAAATAAAAAGCAGAACATAAGGAAGACAGTCAATGATACTGTAATAAAGATGTAATGGGACAGATGGTAGCTGTACTTGTGGTGAACATACCATAGTGTATAAACTTGTCAAATCGCTGAGTTGTACACCTGAAACTAATGTAACATTGTGTGTCAACTATACTGAATTTTTTTAAAAAAAGGGAAAAAAAGAAATGACCATTCAAGTTTAAAATAATACCACAATAACCGTAGTTGAGAGCAGCACTCAAGTTCTGGTAAGTGTTTGGAATAAGAATTTTAGCACAATGTTTATGCAGTTTAGTTTCAAGGTATATACAGATAAAAGCACTTTAAATCTTACATAAACATTGGTAAAATTCTCCATTTTTAAATGTGAAAAAGGGATAATAAAATAAATATTTGTTATGACAGTTATGACAGTGTTATTATGATGGAAAAACAAAACAAAACAAAATAGTCCTTATGATTTATGTAGCCTGTAATTCCCAAACTGAATTCAATTATAACTGTGGCTTGTAAAAATGCAGTTAAGAATATGGTATATTCTGGGCACCTGGGTGGCTCAGAATTGGTTAAGCTTCTGACTCTTGATTTTGGTTCAAGTCATGATCTCAGGGTCATGAGATTGAGCTCCGCTATGGGTTCTGCGCTCAGCATGAGTCTGCTTGTCCCTCTCCCTCTCTCCTTCCTCTCCCCGCACCCCCTCCCCCCACCCCCCACGCCCCTCATGCTCACTCATTCTCTAAAATAAAATCTTAAAAAAAAGAATATGTTATATTCTTCAAAAGAATGTCTTTTAAAATGTTTTGCTATTTTTTTTCTTTTGTAAAGTATGTATCAATTCTCTTTACTTCCAGGATCCACTTTGCCAAAGAACCTTGGACAATTCTACCTTAGCAAACTAATGGGGCTCTTAGGCTAATTTCTAGATGATAATGTGTCCTTTTTTGTGAACACGTATATCTGGGGAACTGCTACTTAGGCAGCACGAATCAGAAATTAGTCAATTTAGACATTGGAGAGACTATAAATCCATGTTCTCAAGTAAATCATAGAAAAATGTTTTCCAAAGAGAACTATACAATATATATTACAATAACTGTATATAATATAATTACAATAATATAATTACAATATATAATTACAGTATAATTACAGTTACTATATATATTGAATATAATTACAATAATACAAAAACATAACAAGCATTAACAGCCCATTCAAGTACCACTTATTGGGCAATTACTACAGAGCAGGAACAGTGCTAAATACTCTTACATAGTACCTCACTTAATTGTTGCCGAATTCTCACAGATAGGTATTATTCTCCAGACTTTAGAGTTGAAATAATTAAAACTTAAGAGGTTAAATAATTTGCTCATGATTATACAGTTATTTAATTCAGGGCATGGAGATCTTAAGTGCCAAAAAATATCACAACTATTTAAGAGTGGTTAACAGCTTCAGTATGACTAGGTGAACAGAAAATCTTAGAGCTGAAAGGCACCATAGAGACAAAGCTGTCTGTTTGAAGACACTACCAATCCAGCCCAATAGCACCAGAGACACGACCCTTGCTTTTACTGCTGTTGCAGTGAGGGAGAGCCATGTTGATTCTGGGGCAGCTTATTGAAAAAGTGTGAGAAAGACATATTTTAAGATCTAGGTTTTGTGTTAGGTGATTTGGAAAAGGGTTTTAAAAAGCAGAGCTTTGCTCTGGCTTGGATGGTATCAGAAAGTGGGGAATAATTCTATGATTGGATATCTTAATAAATCTTATCTGGAAGGTAGGAAAAATGAAATGAAGCTAAAGCCTTAGTTGAAAAAGAAACAGCACTCGTATTAGCTGACATATTGGAATGTTTGATCATTTTGGTGCTTTGGACAATATTTATGTCTTTGTGTTCAGACGTGATTACACAGTGATCTTGTTTTGGCCTTGTCTGATGTCCGTGCTCTAGGAAAAGTTGTATGTCCGACAGAAGACTACCAAGATCTACCTGTGAGTGCATGTCAAGGAACTTATTTTTTTCTAGCACTGACAAGATAAGTTATTTCTCCATGTGCATGTGTTTTCTATCTAATCTTTGCATAGATTCCTTTTATTTCCTCATTTAGGTAAGAGCAAGAAACTGAATGTATACTTCTATAGTATTATATTGCAATATACCATTTTAACAAAAATATCAAATTTTCTTTTAAATATAGTGCTCCTCAACAACATATTTGTTCTTAATTAATTGTTCTAAAATTAAAATTAAAATTTTAATTTTCATCTATAAAATACTGTTTTGAAATTCAAGAGGCAATTGTGTGTGAAAATTAATTTAAAGAAAATCTACTATAATGTAGCAGCTGGAAGACTGAAAATTATTCTAGAATCTACTGAAATAATATGTAAAAGGCAAAAATACAGAATGTATGAAGATATAGGATTTATGTTTAAAATTTATTATGTCTTTTATGTATCTTCATATACTGGTGTTTGTAAGTATATTTGTAAGTACTAATATTTGTGAATATTTGGGTACAAAAAAATCCAAATGGCCGATGGCCACATACATCTACATCTGCTGGTTTTGCTTTTGTAGGGAAATACTTGCTGAGAAAGGAAAAATAGTAGGTGTAGGGCTGCCCGTCTCCCCTCCTATCTTGCCTCCTCACAGTCTGAGGTGATGGTCAGCAATATGGCAGGAAAGAACAGCAACTCAGGGAGAGACACCCTGACCCATGGACTATGTGGCCATAAGTTCATAATTAGGGGAAGCATTAACCCCTTCTCTGGTGGGATCAGGGACTGGGCAACAGTAGCAATACGATATGTCAGAACCCTAACACCAGTCCCACCCTGCGTCTTTCTGATGTACTCGTGTGTTTGGGCTCAAAGCTTTGCATTACAGGTAGGTACCAGATCAAGATTCTGTCAGGATTTGCCACAGCAGCCTCTATGGCTATGTAAATACCAGTCCTTTCCCTGGTATGTTGGACTACGGTCCATTTCCTCGGTTGATCAGGACTGATTGCTTTAAGCACTAGATGACACCCATTTTTCCATGGGGCTTTGCAGGAGTGGGTGGAGATTGACTTTTTCTGGATAGCTAGGGTGCACAGAACAGCCTGGGACAAATTAACCCTTACCTTCAGTATTGTCAATGATAAATAACATCTCATTATTAAAATTTCCATTCCTTTGATTTGTAGTTATTTGATCATATTTTTTTTAAGATTTATTTATTTTAGAGAGAGGGAAAGAGAGACAGGGAGGGGGAGAGAGAGAGAGTGTGTGTGTGCACGCTTGCATGCATGTGCAAGCAGGGGTGGGGCTAAGGGAAAGGGAGAGAATCTCAAGCAGAATCCCCGCTGAGCGTGGAGCCCAAGGCAGGGCTTGATCTCAGGACCCTGAGCCGAAACCAAGAGTTGTTGTTCAAGCAACTGAGCCACCCAGGCAGCCTGGTCGATCATATATTTAAACCACTATCTGACTGCATTGTCAGATAGTCTCCTACCTGGCCACCCTACTTTTATTCCTGTAGCTCTACCTGTACCTCCATTTCTACAGAGTAACCTGAGAGAACTCTTTGACCTCTGACCCCCAGCACTATTGCCACTCTGGAAAGGAATATTCTTTGTTGTGGACGGCTGTCCTGTGCACTGGAGGATGTTTGACAGCAATTCTTGCCTGTACTCACTAATATCAATATCAAATCCTCGGCTGTGACAACCCACAACTTTTACAGACATTGCCAACTGTACCTTGGGGTCAAATTTTCTCTGATTGAGAAGTACAGCTAAGGGCTTTCTCCTTTACACTCCGATAAAATCCCAGTTCTTTTATTAACCTGCCTTCATCACATATCCCTTCATTCTGTCTTTATTCATTCTGCTCTAGCACCCTTGGCCTCCTTGGTTTTCTATGAATGCATCAGTCTCTCCTTTTTCAAGGCCTTTATGCTTGCTCTTCCATGTGTCTTAAATTCTGTTCCCCCAAATCAATTCATGGTTCACTTTCACTTCAACGGTCTCTGATAAAATGTCAACAGAGGTGTTTTCCCTGATCACTCCGTATAAAAGGCCCTTTTATTTTTAATCATTCTTTATCCCTAATGTTTAATGCAATTGTCCCTATTTGCCATTTTATTACATAAATCAGTTTATCATTTGTCTCTCTCATGAAAATGTAAGCCCCATAGGAACTGTTTCTTCTTCATGCATATTCAATCAAAACACAGCACCTAGTAGCTATTGAGTAAGTAGTTATAGAATCAATAAATGGAAAGAAGTAGACAGGCAATGAATTCTTTTTTTATATTATCAACTCCAGAAGGAAGAACTGACAGAAATATTATTTCCAAACTTCGGCTCAGAGAGTAGTTCATAATAATAAAATCAACTCTCCTTACCCCTCAGCTAATCCTAATGCCAAAGTATTCCTGCCAGCCTGTCTTTTCTGATCATAGAATTACATTTCAATAGAGTGCTTCAGTTAGTTATAAATGCTTGTACTTCTGGCATATGCAGTAAGAGTAAGGAAGAGGTAGGTTTGCAAACAGAAGTAGATAATAGCATTTCATTGTTAATCTATTACTGACAGAAAGTTTCCATGACAATTTATCAAAACATGCAGAATATGAGGTTGCTTTCAAATCTAGTAATAATTATTCATTACAAGATTTTAGCATAATCATTTCCTCCTGTTCATCCTCCTGTTTAAATGATTCAGGCTCATTTAAATTTATGTACATGAAATTCTATAAAAATTAGTTTTATGGAACTAACTACAAATGATAAGCACACTGTCTTATCCATGCTTATGAGATTAATTGGTCATTTCATTATTAAAAACAAAGTTTTGGGGGTGCCTGGGTGGCTCAGTCGGTTAAATGTCAACCTTCGGCTCAAGTCATGATCCCAGGGTTCTGGGATTGACCCCACATCAGCCTCCCGGCTCAGTGAGGAGCCTGCTTCTCCCTCTCCCTCTGCTGCTCTCCCTGCTTGTGTTCTCTGTCAAATAAATAAATAAAATTTTTTAAAAATTTAAGAAGTGAAAATAAAATTTGGCAACCAAATTTATTTTATGTATACTTTTCACTGAAATTCACCTTTCTATGCTCCTCAGGATTATAACTTATGCACTAAAAAGAAATAATTGATTTGATGCAGCAAAGCTAATATTCAGATTCAAAATCTGAATGAGCTTTAAATTTATATGCTTCTCAATGAAATAGAGAAACCCAACAATATATTCTATATTGGCACCCTTTTAAAAATGCTATTTGCTGTGATTAAACAATACAAGATAACTGAAAATTTATAAATTATACTTTCTTCCACTTAAGCACAATCTTAGCATGACTAGTGCATGACAATGTGACATTTTACACCTCTTGATGTGATTTGTAAGAAATACATGTCACTAATGTAGTATAGTCTTGCTTAAAGTGTCTGGACTTAATCCAATCATGAAGGATTATCAAATCAATCCAGAATTCGGCATATTTTACAACAGAACTGGCCCGATCCTTTAAAACAATACTATGAAAAACAGAACAAAATTTAAAAAGTAGATTGGGGCTTTTCTACTATTATATAGTAAAAGGAACTAAAGGCTATAACAGCCAAAGGCTGTGTAAGAACTTCGGTTAGAGTTCATGGATCTTATTACCTAAAACAAATAAAGAAATGGATGAATGATGGATGATTAAATAACTATTAAAATCTATGTTTTGTGCAATTGGGGAAATTTATGAGCTGTATGAACTGTATATGTTATGATATTTTTGTATTAGTAATAATTAGGTTAATTTAGAAGACTACTATATTATTTGTAGAGGACTACTGAAGATGAAGTATCATGATGTCAGCAACTCAAGTTCAAATGATTCAACCAAAAATAGTAAGGGGTGTGTTTAGGTGTGTATATGCAGAGAAAGAGTGCAAAAAATGGCAAAACTGGTAAACTATGAGTGAATTTATGTGAAGGATATGCACATATTTTTTCTTTTAAGGCTTTCAATTTCTCTCTAGATTTGAAAACAATAAAAAAAGTTGAGTAGCAATAAGCTATTTTCTAAAAAATAGAAGTATCATTTATTTTTTTACATCTCCAAATGTTATATAAGTTAATACCAACAGTGGTGTCAGGAAGCTCTCAGTAAAAATGGATTCTAGAGGTAGACCACTCCCCAAAACCCTATCTCTGGTGAGAAGAGGATTATTTATAGCATTATTTATATTTCTGGCATGCTGGGGGAAAAAAAGGGGACTCTAAGGATTATAGATTTAGATAGCTATTGAATGTCATTATTCATTAAAGACAGAAAATGATACTCAAACCTAGTAATCAAAAAAATAAAGTACGAGACCGAGATGGCTATCTCAGAAGTATTTAAAGAGACATTCATCTCCTGTAGCTAGAGGGTAGGTAAAGCTGAAGAGCTCAAGACCAGAACATAACGGTAGCAGAACCTTAAAGAATGCTTAAATTCTCATCCCAGGCAAGAATATTAAAGCCAAAGTCAGGGCCCTGATATAGAACGAATGGGACCCAGAGACTTAGAATGAGCCTATCAGGGTAGATACATTTGAGAACTATCAATCCTCAGATTTCTCTAAACCCTCAAAGCCTGCAGTAGTGGTCCACTTCCCCCTGTGGAGAGGCAGAGCCCCCTCCCCATTTACTCTGCTTGAAAAATTTGCAGTCCTCAAATTATGCAGGTGCCCTGTAATGAATGTTCGCCCCTAGGAGGGGTTCTTAACTCCCCCTCTAGCCATCAGACTCATAATTAGGGTCAGATATCTGTATCACCCTAATAGGAAAATGTCAGGCTTCTAATGTTAGGAAAATAATTGGACAGCAAAGAAGCTACTGAACCTGGCTACTTTGTGCCAGCAGGAACTGGGAGGGGTCTGCAAGTGAATCCTGAGAGCTCTGGATTGAGAGGATGGGATATAAATATGAACAAGGGGAAGTTTATTGATATAGGACAGTCTTGTAAGAAACCGAATTTAGTACCCGGCAAGAACATCAGGCATAGATCTAATGTAGTGATAGAATGGCCCTTAGAATCTTGGAAAAGTAAAGATACCAGGACAACTGTCACAGACTATGGAAAAGGGGATCAAAATCTCAGAAGTGGGCATACGAGAATGAATGGACTCTATAACACCAGAAATCCACCAGCTTACTATGTTCTTCAGGGGAATTAGTTCATTTGTCAGGACAATAAGGAATGCAATGTTGAGGGAGCCCTGACAGCACCGCAAAGCTCAGAGGTGGATGGATATCAAGCTAATGATTTGTGATACATTTTTCAAAAACCAGGCTCCAGAGGCACTTAGGATCTTGTCAGAAGCAGGATAAGCGTATTGGGCAAAAAGATTGGAATGGCAGTTGGGGTGCTGATCTATAGGACCTATGGAGATGGTTAATAGAGCAAGGTGTTCACAGTAGCAAGGTAGATGAACATCCAATAAGAATGCTGCTTAATAAATATGTCTAAAAAGACTGAGGTTCACTGCCCTATGCAAAGCCTTTTGCCTACTTTCCAGATCTGAACCAGATTTGAAAGCAGATCCAAAGACTGAAGGAAAAGCCAGGCACCCGTGGAAGAATCTGCAAAAACTACTATCATGTATATAGTACTGATTCCTATAGTCCTTCCCTGAAGGGACCTGTGGCCTGTCATGTAACTATAGGACTGTTGGACACAATGCTCCTGCTGCTGATTCCAGGAACATAACGCACATGAAGATATGGGGTCAGGTGCAATCCTCACCCAGGTTTGTCTCAGAGTGGTTCCACTAGGTCCATGGATCCACCAAGGGCTCAGTTCTCAAAAGTATAATTGGAATGGTCATAGTTAATTTTCATCAGAACCCTCACACTGGTTCCTTACTTTGTAAAATAAGAGCTATTTTACTTTACTGGCTTATGTTAAGGAAAAAAAGATGCATTATGGAAATGACAATGGACCACTGCAAATTTAACCAAGTCGTACCTCAAATTTTAGCTGCTGGGATGGGTATAGTCCATTTATTTTTTAGGTTTATTTACATACTTTCAGGGACGTAATATTCAATTATTGATCTGGTTAAATGCATTCTTTTCTAAACTCATCAAAAAGGAGACTCAAAGGTAGTTTTTATCAACATGCTGAACAAACATACATATTCATGGGCTGGCCCCAGGACTATGTTAATTCTACAGTTTTCTATCACAGTATAGTCTTAATGGGACTGAACCATTTGGGCAGTCTGCAGAATGTGATATTGTCCCACTACATTGTTATTATGTTTATTTGGAGTTTTAGAGAGTCATCTACCTCTAGAATACAGTTTTACTGAGAGTTTTCTGGCACAACTCTTGGTAAAAACTCTTAGGTCAGTATTAGTCTCCTAGGGCTGTCATAATGGAACAAAATTTCAGGAACTTATAGAGTCAAGCAACTGGTTGGAAATTCATTAATTGCCTACAAAATATTTAAATAGGAGTGTTTAAATAGGAACTAAACATTGCTCCTTTTTTTGTTCTTAGAACGAGAATTAGTTGTTCTTAATCTCTATAAAACATATGTTATCTAGATAGTAACTGCTACTGCCAAACTGCAATTTCTCACCTACTAATTCACATATTAATCAGTCTGCTTTTTCCTCAAATAATAGTTTCAACTAGAAATCAGTCTCAAATGTGTTTAACTGGAGCATCCCCATCCCATGCAGACAAATGCCTTAAATTGCTGTTC